TTCTACAATTTGATTGGTTCTCACTGTCTAGGTGGCCCCGGTTAAAGTAGTTGTAATGTAAGTATTATTAAGGCATGACGAAGGACATACTGTAAATATTACCTTGCGATGTAAAGAGCCTTGTCTATAAACTTTCTTGCACTTGGAGTATCATTCTTGCTGTCGTACACAAGCCCCAGATTCAAGTACAACCTTGCAATACAATACAACACAATAGACTTTATTTTAAGAGGKTAGCACTTAACATTTTAGGAAAATGATGACCCAGTGGCCCTCTAAAACTATGTACTTATTGACTGAATGGGAGAGCTGTGCAGGAAAGTATTTGGCTCGAGGTGATGCCRGTTTTTCTAAGAGCACGCGCCGGGCAGATACAGTTCATGTGACAAAACAATTTATTACACAATGCAAGGCCTGGTTCAGATGTTGAAGCCCACATGCGCCGAAATGCAATGCAAACAATTTGTACCAGCCTCAGCACATGCAAACCCTGATTCCCGAACCAGTCCCAATGGAGAATAACAGGGTTCATGTTAAGGTATTATATATAAACCACTTAAAATTCAAGGACTATTCAAGGAGTATACAAGGACCCAAAAATGAACTTTCAAGTAGTATGTTCAGCTAACTATGCCAAGGTTTTAYACCRTGGTTGCACATGTCYGACTTTCAGATTTTCYGATCTTTCTGACTAKATCTATTTCAGAACCATGCAAGTAACGATCRAAGCAAAAATTCAAGGAGTTTTCAAGGAGTTTCACTAAAATCATAAAATTCAAAAGCTTTTCAAGTGCCTTTGAAAATGTGAATTAAATTCAAGGAGTTTTCAAGGAGTTTAAGGAGTAGCATGAACCTTGGAATAAACAATAACAATAAAAATAAAGTCTAAAACCTTGCTCTCATCTCAAGTAGTTCAGTTTCTGAGGTAATTCCTTGGAGTTTGTCACAGACCGAGAGAGCCTCCAGGTAAGCTTTCTGTGACTCCATCAATGACTCTTCTGTTTCCRCGGCATCCACTGCACTGTCGGAATATACAAACCATGTGCGACCGATAGTTGCCCAGGCTCTCTGCTGCTCGACCAGGTTATTAGATGACTTAGCCAGCTGAGGGATAAGAAGACAATACAACATTGATTTAGACCAATAATAAGAGCAGGGCTTTAAAAATTAGCTCGGCTGATCAGTCTGTTGTGTGGGAGGTTGTGGTTTAAGCATTGGCC